CCCCCCCGTGGGGGCCAGTTCAGAGGTCATCTCATTACAAGGCCTCGCTGACCACCCCTTGTCACCCTAAATCACACGGGCACCTGGCACCATCTGACCTTTTCCCTGTTCCCTTGTGCATTGTTTCTGCCCAACACCAATGTGAACAGAGCTGCATGCCCGGGAGCTAGAACAAGGCCTTTACTATGGTTACACCAATGCGACTGAATGGGTGCTGCTATCTGCAGCCCCCCCGGCATTGGCACGGCCCCCGGCACGTTCTGGGGGCCCCACACCCAGATGAAGGGGTGCATGCAGTGCAAAGGAGCACAACACAAGCGGGCCTGCAATCACAGTGTGTTTAGGAATAAGTCTTAGAGGGGGGACCCCACTGAGAAGGGCCTTCTGCTTGGTTTCATGCTCTGCTGTACCATTTTGAAACTCTCAATTTTTCAACAAGGGGCCCTGCATTTTTCTTTTACACTGGCCCAGACTAGCTGTCTCTAGCCCCTCAACATCTCCCCTCTAGGGGTCCCTTGGCTGACAAAATACAGAACAACATAGGAGATGTTAAGTCCACCAAATGAGGAACCTTTTAAAAGCTTTTATTTGTATTTACTTCTGAGATACCATGTTCTAGCCTTTCAGGGAGTCACAGACCCCTTTGAGAATCTAAGAAAAGCAATGATCTTTCTTCCCAGGAAAAACGCTTTTGCGTGTAAACTGTATTTATGGGGGTTCGTAGCTCTGGCACTAGAGATACTGTTACTGGAAAGGGGACCTGGCCCTGAACAGGTCTCCCGAGGGCCAGCCAGTAGCGCGTGGGTTCTTGACTTCATGCAGGAAAAATTTCACAGCATGAGTCCAGGTGAATTTTAGAGGACGTTCATTAAAGCTGGGGACAGTGAAACAAGAAAGGGCTGGGGAAATGAGCCTAGGCTGGTCTGCTTTGGCTCACTAAGAAGTCAGAGAAAAGGGGGCTTGGGGGCAGGTTCAGGGGATTTGTTTGGGACGAACCTCTGCTGCCCATTGCTGCCCTGGTTGCAAGCCTCATGGGGTCCCTTAGAGTTTAGGAGATGCATGCCTGTGGGGGAAGAGCATGCTCCCAGGAAGGAGAGTGTGCACTGGGACCTTTGTTTTGAGGGGTTTTAAAGGGTGGATGCTTAGATTTATTCTCTTAATTTCATCTGTCCTTGGGTGTGGTTGGCCAATGGCACTAATTGGATTTCTGCCGTCTCAGAGTAGGGTGATTTAAGCTATTTGCCCTCTGTTTGGGTAGGAGAAGTACAAACCATTTACTCTTAAGTGTCCTTGGTTTAGGGAAGATAGGATTTACCAGATGGCAGCAAACTGCCATTTAACTGACTCAGTTTCCCTATTCTGTTTGTCCTGGCTTTCTAGCCCGTCTCAATGCCACTCTGAACTGGCAAGACAGAAGTAACTGGGATGCTGTATTGACACTGTTGCTGGGCTAAGCACAGGAGTGGCTTGCTGCTTTCTATAGCCTTCAGTCCCACTTGGGATCCTAACAGGCATGGAAGTGACAGACAAGGATTTGAGGCAAAGTGGAACAGCCTGTTGAGAATTTGGTATGGCTGAAAACAAAATGCCTTGAACAAGTTATTTAATCTAAGTCTTACTTTGTTTTCTGTACATTGCTAGGATATGAAGAGCTTTATAAACTGCAAATACTTCTACTTGTTATATCTCAGAAATAGATAGATGATAGATAGATAGATAGATAGATAGATAGATAATAGATAGATAGATAGATAGATAGATAGATAGATAGATGATAGATAGATAGATGATAGATGATATATAGATAAATGATAGATAGATGATAGATATAGATGATAGATTGATAGATAGATGATAGATAGATAGATAATAGATAGATGATATATAGATAAATGATAGATAGATGATAGATTAGATAGATAGATGATAGATAGATAGATAGATAGATGATATATAGATAAATGATAGATAGATGATAGATNATAGATAGATGATAAATGATATATAGATAAATGATAGATGACAGAGATAGACAGATGATAGATAGATGATAGATAGATAGATAGATAGATAGATAGATAGATAGATAGATAGATGATAGATAGATGATAGATGATAGATAGAGATAGAGAGAGAGAGATAGATAGATAGATGATAGATAGATGATTATAGATAGATAGATAGATANTATAGATAAATGATAGATAGATGATAGATAGATGATTGATAGATAGATAGATAGATAGATAGATAGATAGATAGATAAATTTCACAATCATTGTTGAGCGCCTTCTGTGGGCCTAGCCCTAAGAGGGCTCCCAAGATTAAGTAAACTTCAGGCTCTACAAAACCTAGACCAATTCATAGGCAATGAAAACTAAAGGTACAAGAGGGGAGCTGAGGCATAGAACTAGGTCCTAGAAGAAGAGGGAAAGGACTGGAGAAGAGTTACTCATGGAAGAAATTCCCCCTCCAGCAAAGATGAGGCAGGAAGAAAAAGGGGAAGACAAAGAAATGTGGAGGGTCCGAGTACTGGATGAACGACCTTGATTTCAGCAAGACAAGGTTGGGCGGGGGCGAGACAGATAAACACGTAAGTCAGAAGACAAGGGAGCGCTGCTGAAAATTAGTTGAAAACTTTGGCCTTGGAGTCCCGCGGGGACACGGGTGAAGGACCATGAGAATGAAGTGGGTGAGAGTCTGCAAGCCTCCTCGAGGACGGGGCGACTTCAGCCT